TCCAGACTTTGGGTCGTGGCCACACTGCCCGGAGAAAGGGCAGCGGGGGCGGCCGTCTGTCCCCAGGCCTGACGGAGCAGGGAAAGCCGCTGCTCACCTCCCAGGGCCGCGCCCTGGACAGGACGGCGGTGCCAGGCTGTCCCCCGGCGCCCGGGCAGCTGGGATTTTTCCTGCGAGAGCCTGGACATTAGAGGTGGTGCCCCAACTCGTGTCCCCCGATTCAGCTCAGGGAAACTGAGCCCCAGCTGCCGGCGGGGAATGGGGGGAAGAAGGTGCCTGAGGAGGGTGAGGCGGGAGGGGCTTGGGGACGTTCTGGCTCCAGCTTGCGGAGTAACCTCGAGCCAGGTTCCTTCCCTTCCCTTTCGGGCCCTGGTTTCCTCACCGCAAAAATGAGCCGGTTGGACAGAGACCCGGCCTGGGACCCCGGGCCTCCGTGTGCTCCTCCAGACCCTGTGGGCGTGGAGCAGAGCTGCTAGAACCAGCCGGGCGGGCGTGACACAGAGACCCCAGCGCCAGGCCGCGTGGGTTCCCCATCCAGCTCTGGGGGGGCGGGGGGGGGGAAGCGGGAACTGTTGCTTGGCCTCCCTGGGCGTGTTCGCTGCAGGGAAACATCCCCGCTCACCGCCCTCCCGCGGGGAAAGGCCGCTTGGCTGAGGCGCCTGAGGATGCTGAGCCGGCAGCACCCTCCAAGTGTCAGCTCACACGACCGTGCAGCGGGACAAGGGCTCGTGCCCCGGGCGCAGGCCTGGTGGTTAACAGAGCTCCTCTGCACGTTGAGCTCATTTGCCCACGTGACAAACCCATTGTACAGATGAGGAAGCTGAGGGTGAGCGAGCCTGAGAGACCTGCCCAAGGCCTGTCGCTAGTACGTGGCAGGACTGGCGCTCAGGGCTCTTACCGCGTGTCCGCGTGGGCCTCAGTTTCCCCAGCTGTAAGTCGGGTTGATGGCCAACTCCCGGGCCCAGGCTGGGGTGGGGCTCCATGAGGCATGGGCTGTGAGGTACGTGGGGAAACACAGGGCTCCTCAGGGTGCTGGAGGGCCTCGAGGTCACCACTGCTGCCGGGCGGGGCCGGGGCAGGAGCTCAGGAGACAGCAGAGGGAGAAGCGAGGCCTCCCGGGCCATCTGCAGGCAGAAGGCAGTCGGGTCTACAACATGTGCAATTTCTTTAACTTTTTTAAAAAATATATTTTTTGTATTGATTTCAGAGAGGAAGGGAGAGGGAGGGAGAGAGAAACATCAGTGATGAGAGAGAATCACTGACCGGCTGCCTCCTGCACATCCCCTGCTGGGGACCAAGCCCACAATCCAGGCATGTGCCCTTGGCCGGAATCGAATCCCGGATTCTTCAGCCTGCAGGCCAACGCTCTATCCACTGAGCCACACCGGCCAGGGCTCTTCAACTTTTTATTTCAGCGTAATTTCTCACATACGGAGAAGTTGTAAGTTCCATGTGTTTTTCGCTCGTTCCCCGGCTGTGAACGTCTTACCCCCATCACGGCATCACTTTCTGTCTTTCTGAACCGATAGCGAGCAGGTGACAGGCACAGTGGTCCTTTTTCCTAGCTACGCCGACGTGCCTTAAAATGATCTTACATAGCGCAGCACCCGTATCAAGAGCAGGCGATTAACGTGGATGAGATCTCTCAGATAATCACAGCCTTTTCCCGATGCTGGCAACTGCTCCAACGACGCCCTCGAAGGCAAAAGAGAACCCGTGAATGTGCCGCATGCCATCCGTGCCTCTTCACGGTCCTGTGCTCCAGGCCGCCGCTCAGGGCTCCTTTCTCTCCCATCGGCGTTGCTTCTTCTGAAGGGAACAGGCCAGTGACTCGGCAAGACGTCCCTCATCCGGGCTTGTCTGTTGATGCCCGGCGATCGGGTTTAAGCCGTGCCTCCTGGCAGGAACAGCACGGACGGGCTGCTGGGTCCTCCGGGCGTCACATGCAGAGGCAGGTGGGACCAGCTGGGAAACTTACTTAAAAATAAAGGCCAGCCCGGCCTGTGTGGTTCAGTGGTTGAGCATCGACCTATGAACCAGGAGGTCACGGTTCGATTCCTAGTCAGGGCTCATGCCCGGGTTGTGGGCTCGATCCCCAGTGTGGGGCGTGCAGGAGGCGGCCGATCAGTGATTCTCTCTCATTATTGATGTTTCTCTCTCTCTCCCTCTCTCCCTTCCTCTCTGAAATCAATAAAAATATAAATGAATAAATGGCCATAGTGAGAGGCGACGGGCATTTACTTGAGATCCCAAAGAAAAACTACTCAGGAAGCAGTAATTCAGAGAGAAACCAGGCCCCGTGTAGGAGGCGAGGGCCAGGGGCACGTGTAGGAGGAAGGGGTCGGTGGGTGCAGAGAAGCTAACTCGGCCACCCTGGCTCTAAAGCCTGCTTTTCCCGCTCAGTCCGGCGGCCCCCACATCCGCCCTCCCACGATCTTCACAGATAGTTGTCCGGGAGACACTGCGCTAGGCCGGGCCCGAGGCTCCTCTGCTCAGTCCGAACGTTCCACAGGTTTGAGGAGCCAGACCCGCGGGGCAGTCTCTCTGGGAGGACAGCGTGGACTCCATTGTAAAGGGCTTAGTTCCTGTTGTTTTTATTTTATTTTATTTTATTTTTTTTCATCTCACAAGAAGCCATAACTTTATTAATGATAGAAACAGTACACATTTCAAACCAAGCTGCAGTAACTCTTTTGAAACACACACAAAAAGGGTCCTCCTTTTTATTTTATTATTATATTTTTTAATATATTTTATTGATTTTTTACAGAGAGGAAGGGAGAAAGAGAGTTAGAAACATCGATGAGAGAGAAACATTGATCAGCTGCCTCCTGCACATCTCCTACTGGGGATGTGCCCACAACCCAGGTACATGCCCTTGACCGGAATCGAACCTGGGACCTTTCAGTCCGCAGGCCGACGCTCTATCCACTGAGCCAAACCGGTTTCGGCGGGGTCCTCCTTTTTAGATGGCTACATGGCTGATTCCATAACAGCATTCGCAGTACCATGACTGCTGCTCTTCAGGGCTCAAACTGCCTTTGCCCTCCACACATTTGCTTGTGACACGGCCAATTCTATGTGCCCAACTTCCACACCTGTTTCGCCAGCCTCTTCCTCTTCGCTCTCCTCTTGTACAGTGGAGCCTGCGTGTTTCCTTGAATGTTTGAGACAGCTTCACCTTGAACTTTGAACTTCTCGGCAGCTGCTGGCTGTGCTTGCTGAGCTAAATCCTCGATCTTGGCTTCCCCCAAACTATGTAGGTATCGAAGCAGGGCTCTTGTAGACATCTGGCTTTGTGAGGACAAAGAGGCTGTTCTTAGGTTTCCGATGGTGACCCTGGTGACCCCTGTAACCTGTCGAAGACCCAGTTTGGACACAGCCTTCCGTGCCTTCTTTCCACTCCGGCTGTTTTGCTTTGCCGACTGGTTCTTCATCGATTCCAGCCGCCGCCAGCGGGGCTTGCTGTGTGGTGGCCTGTGCGGAATCTTGTTCTCCGAGCTCCGGTCCTGATTCATCGCTGTCAGATTCTGCTCCAGACCCTGTCTCAGCCTGGGGCTGTGGCAACCCCTGCTCTGTAGCAGGGACGGTTTCTGCGGCTTCACCGGGCATTTTGTGCGGGGAACGCGGAACCAAGAGGCGGCAGAAAGAGAGCGAGCGACAGCGCGACCCGCGCCTGTTGCAGAAGGAAGCCCCGTGTGGTTTCTCACAGCTGGGCCCGGGCTGGCGTCCCGCTGGGACTGTGTGGCCGGGTCCGGTCAGCTCGGCACAGCTGCCCTTCCTCCTGTAAGTGAGCCTGTGGCCTGTGGCCTGTGGCCGGCTCCGGAGATCTGCCAGCGCGGGGTGCCTCTCCGGCCTTCCCACCGGCTGTCACCCCGGTGACCTGGCACTGTGACTCCGTGTTCCCTCCCCCGTTCAGTTGCTGCCTTCGCTGCTGGCGTTCCTGGCGGCTCTGGGCCTTGACGGCGGTGGCTGGCGGGCCAGGCGCGGGCTCCCTGCGGGATGAGCTCGGACAGGGCAGCCGGCATCTCACCTCCCTTAGATTCTGGAACTTGGTCGGGCTCCTCTCTGCTGCCAGGGCCGTTCTCCCTCCATCTTTAGACTTTTCACGGTTTGCTTGTCGAGCTGCTGTTATGTGTTGGGTGCTGGTTTCTGGCACTGAGGACAGGGGACAAGGCCCCGGACTTCACTGAGCTTATATTCCGACAGGCGAACAGGCAAGCACATCCTGGAAGCAGCCTCATTTCAGAGGAATATGCGCAACAGGAAAACAGAGCAAGGAGAGGAAGACGGAGGGTGGCTGGGGTGGGACACAGGTGAGGCCTCCGAGGGCGTTTGAGGTCAGATTGATGAGCTGAGCCGGGGGGCGAAGACCCGGGGACAGGCCATTCAGGGCCGAGGGAACAGCAGGTGCAAAGGCCCTGGGGCAGGGGTGAGGCTGACCCCCTGGAGGACATTACAGAGGGAGGGGCGGGGCGGAGAGGTTGGCAGGTGTCAGTGACCACAGGTCCCCTCAGGGCTTGTAACGGATGCAGGGCAAACGGAAAAGCCCTTGGAGATCTTTATGCGTAAACAAATGTGATCTGATTTGCCTTAACGTGTATCCTATTATTTAGCAAATATTTTTTACAACCAGCTCCATTTTCAACATACGTTTATTTAAACCTCGAAACCTTCCATCGCTATCCCAGCCCTCAAGCCGGTGTGACTTCAGTTACCAGAATAGATTCCCGGAAACGAGGAAGACGCTGAGGACGCCTCACCCACCAGCCCGCCCGCCAAGCCCGTCAGCGCCCTCGTTAACGGGGTTAGGGGTCAGAGGCTGAGCGGCACCGCCCGTGCTCGAGGGCCGAGGAATTAGAAAAGGAATCACGTGCTTACGCTGCGGTTCAGTGCTGTTAGCCTGGAATCCTAACGGGTCCGCTCACCGCTGGGGAGATGAGCCGGGTGGCGCAGTGGGGGTGGTGCTGGGAGGGAGGCGAGCACAGTCTGGCCCGGTCAGAGGCCGTCAGAGGGGAGGCTCCGCCCCCCACCCTCCGCAGTCAGACCTCCACTGGCCCACCTCACCCACGTACCAGGGAGAAACTGAGGCCCTGAAACGGGGCTGGGACTTACCCAGGGTCATAGTGAGAGCTGGTCCCGGCTCTGTCATCTCTCAGGGTCACTCCCACCCGCTTCCCGCTGAAAATGAGACGTGACGTCAACATTAATCATCCTTATTGTAAAAGTGGGGCAAGAACCACATTAAAGAAACCCTCCCCAGCGCCCTCAGAGCACACGGCCTCTCGTCTTGGAGGAGGGGGCGGGCATGAGGTTCTGGAGGGAAGCACGCGACACAGACCGAGTCCTCGGTACACGGACGCGGATCGCGCCCCCTGCCCAGGGGCCAGGTGCACACGCACCGTGGGGTTTGGGTTGAGCTGCTCAGGCCCCTCTGAGCCTGGGGCGTGTCATCTGACCACCTGGCAGCTGCAGAGAAGGGCTAGTTCGGTGCAGGAACCTGAGCGAGCCTCGGGCCAGCACCACAGGAGCCTGTGCTCAGAGAGGGACTCCTGTTTCCATGGCAACTGCTGTCCACGTCTCATCTCCTGGACCACAGGGCCCAGGGCAGAGCCCGGGAAGGGACTGCAGGTTGAGTGGGGGCAGCTCTGCTGAGGCTCCCAGGAAGGGGGGGGGCAGGAATGGCCCCGTAGCCTCAGAGGACGGACGGTTTATGCCTCGGGTGGGAGGAAGATGCAACAGGCCCCCGAGCAATAGGGGTTTGCACTGCGGGGGTCCACTCGTGCGTGGATTTTATAAAACAAACGCTATGCATTTATTTCCTCTTTCTTATGGTTCCCTTGATAACAGAGTCTATTCTCTGCCTTGCTTCATTATAAGAGCCCAGTAGGTAATACACATAACCTACAACATGCGTGTTCGCCGGCTGTGTATGTCAGCAGGAAGGCTCTGGTCAGCAGGAAGTTATCTGTGGTTAAGTGTAGGGGGGGTCAAAAGTTCTACGTGGATTTTCGATTTCGTGTGGGGGGTTAGCACCCCTGACCCCCGCGTGGCTCAAGAGTCAGCTGTGTGGCCAGCAGCCAGCGGCCTCCCTTTCCTCTCAGGACCGGGCAGCAGGGAGCAGGGCAGCGCCTCGCATGGGGCAGGAGCGGCAGGTGCCGTGGACCGTGAGCTAAGCATTTCACAGACAGTGTCCACACGCCCCCAGAGCACGCGCCGTGGCCCGTGCCGCGCCCAGTGCCTCGCGGGAACCGCGGTCCAGCTGCTCCGGGCTCGCCCGGGCCGCACGGCAGAGGCAGCTCGGGTCACTGCGTCTTCCCCGCGTCTCCATCCTCAGTCACGAAAGAGGAGAGTCCCGGGGCCGCGCTGTCTGGCCGGGCACCGGTTTCTGTCCCTCGGCCCCTTCCTCATTTGTGAAGAGGGGGGGCTGGCCCGTCCTCCCTGCGCCGGGGAAGGTAAACGCGCTGATAGAAGCGAAGGCCCCACGGTCGGCCCCGGCCAGCGCTGATCCCCCCGCCCCGCCTGGAAGCTCGTGCCGTCCACGGCTCGCAGCCCAGGAGCACCCGCTCCCCGAGGGCCTGGCACGAATCTCCCGCACACATTCTCCACCAAAACGTTTTTCTAAAAATAACGCCATTTTCAAGCTGCTGCTGCTGCTTTTTTTTCAGATCCTCACCCGAGGATATTTTCCCATTGATTTTTAGAGAGAGTGGAAGAGAGAGGGAGAGACAGAGAGAGACATCGATGTGAGAGAGACACGTCCATGGGTTGCCTCCTGCACGTGTCCCACCAGGGGCCGGGGCTGGGGAGGAGCCTGCCACCGAGGCACGTGCCCTTGACCGAATCGAACCCGGGATCCTTTGCAGGCCGACGCTCTACCCACGGAGCCAAACCGCTTAGGGCTCCAGCTTCTTTGGTATGTCAGGTGTCTTACAGAGATTGTACCCGTTCAGCCACAATATCTTCCTGAGCTACTGCCAGTGCGTTGGGCTCTGGCAGGGAGAGGGACCGGGCTGGCGAGGGGTCACTCGAGGGTGCATGGTCCGGCCCCACCGCCCGGCCCTTCCTCTCTGCTCTGCTGCGGTTCCTGAGGACACACGCACTTAACATGTGACGTGGCGGACGCTGTGGCTCTGAAGCCTGAGGCTTCCCCTCCCTGGGGGAGGCGAGGGCACCCCAGGCCCAGGCCCTGTCTTTCCGAGGCCCCATCAGCCACAGCGGCTCCAGCCAGTGCCCCTCCTGCCTCTGTGCCCTCCGTGCCCAGTTCTCTCACCCACCGCGGCTGCCGCTGGTTGGTTTCAGGTCACCCGTCGCCAGCTCCATCCGGCCAGCCCAGCCCCAAACCCAGCCGTGCCGAGAGCCAGCCCTCGGAGCCAGGTGAGGACACGGCCTTCAGGGCCCTGGTCAGCGTCCGAGGCCCAGCAGGCGTGTCTGGGGGGACAGGAAGGGGGCATGGACTTGTAGGCTGCCAGGGAGGCTCCCTAAGTTTAGACCACACCCCCTTCCTTGCCCAGTGTCTGCAGGGCCTCCTCAGGTTCCCTGGGAGTCTGAGAGCCATCTGAGGGCCACTGGGAAGTCACATCCACGTGGCCAGGGTGCGGGGAGCATCTTAGGGGATCTGCTGAGAAGAAGCTGAAAAGCCTTGATGGTGATGGTGGGTGCGTGG